CATGTTAGCTCAGGGATTCTGGGAGTTGAAGTCCCACAAGTCTTAAAGTTGCCAAGTTTGGAGACCTCTGATTAAGACGATGGCGGTTAGCGCAGCTTCCCGTGGCTGAGGTGGCGGTGGTCTTCATCACTACCCTCACCGTCATCTTGCTTGCCTGCCAGTCAGCTCTGGAGCAGGGTTTCCCAAGGTAGAGACCCTCCCTCCCTCCCCAATTCTCTGCGTAGCTTCCCCTGTTTCTCCGAACTTTCCCGCTTCGTGACCCCGACCAGAAACAAACATTTTATTTCCCCATCTCTTGCAGTCCCTGATTGTGCCTGGGAAGAGTCCGACGCGGAAGAAATCCGGGCCATTCGGTTCCCGGCGGAGCAGCGCCATCGGCATTGAGAACATCCAGGAAGTGCAGGAGAAAAGGTGTGGGGCGGGGGAGGGCTGCAGGCTGGTTGCCTCCCCCTTCCCCCCCCCTCCCCAGCTGGCTTCCCTTCTCTCACCAAGGCTTTCTTGAGTCAACGTCAAGAGGCTGCCATTGTGCGTCACACCGAGGCGCACGAAACCATAACAGATTCCTGAAAGTCACGGAGGCCGAATCAAACCCTCTTTCCTTCACGCCAAGCACAACCCAACAGATGTTTGCTGTTTTCTGAGACTGGGGAAACGGGGGTCTGTTCCCACCCCAGCTTCCCTCTGCCCCAGCCTTGCTCCGTGATGACCCAAAGGGGCGTGGCACAAAGGCGGAAACACAGTCAAATAAGCCAGAAGAGTCCCTTTATTATCTCCAACTTTGCCCCCAATGTCCAGGTTACCTTCGGGCTGGAGAAAAAACTCTCCCAGGAACAGCCTTTAACTGGAGGAAATTCAGTCCAAAACAAGGCACACACAAACTGTAACTAAAACAAACAAACAAACCCAAGCTGAAGTAATTAATTTGACAGGGCAGGAGAAGGAATTTCAGGCTTGAAAGCCCAGCAAAACACACACAGTTGGGAAGATGACGCCAGGAACACAGATAAGCCTCGACAGTATAACATAAATTCACGATTTGCCCCCAACAGCTTGCTGCGTGCAGCTGCCCTTTTTAAACACCGTGTTCCCAGCTGCAGCTAATGAAGGGAATCAGGGCCCTTGCCTCCCCCGTAAGCCAGGCAACTCATGTTGCTCCCTTCTCCATTCCTCCCTGCGTGCCCTAGGATGAAGAGGGGGTGGGCCTGGTCGTCCTCTGCACTCCCTCTCTGTTGCTCTACCTCTCCCCTGCTCTGCCCAGCCAGACTTTGCCCCTCCCCGGTTTCTTCCACAGCCAGCAGAGCCACACTCCCACTCCCTGTCAGCTGTTCGGCCTCCCCCTCCGAATCAGATTCTGGCAGGGCCATGACGTGATCTGGAAACCCCACCTGTGTGCCCCACAGGGAGAGCCCGACGGGCAGTGCGAAGACGCCGGACAGCAGCCCCACCAGCCAGGAGCCAAAGTCCGGGACCTCCTCCAATCAGAGCTCGCCAGAGATGCCCACCACCAAGAACAGGTGGGCGGTGGGAAACACACACATGCACACCTGGCATCTCCCGGCTGAGTCCAGCCTTGGTTCTGACTCCCCGTTTAACTCTGTTTCTTCCACCCTCTCATAGGCCAGATCCGGTGATGCCCAAGGTGGAAGCCGGGCACGAATCCTCCCGCTCTTCTTCCAGCGCCAGCAGCTTTGGCAGCATGGTGGAGGACGCCGAAGGCTGTCGGGATGATGCAAGCGGGGTGAGGTGGCACCAGGGGCGGGGTGAGCTGAAGGGAGAGGGGGCTGGGGCACAGGTGCCAGGAAGGAAATTCAGAAGGGGGCAGAAAAGTGGGCTTTTTAGAGATTCTCCTGTTGGCGCCTTTGAAAGTTAGGCAAGTAAAAGCAGTAATAAGGCCCTAGTTTGCCCCCGGGAATCCTGGCTTGTTCTTCAGCGGAACGAAAACCTCCCGGAGCATCCTAAGCAGTGGGCAGCGAGGCCCATTTCTGCGGCCATTAAAGGCCGGAAACGGCCCAGGGATTCCAGGCCCTCTTTTCGACTCCACCCGCCTCCAATTTGTCTCCGAGATTCTCAGCGGGCATTGCAGCCCACTCGAAGGGGCTCCCTGATCCAGGGCCGAGCCCCTGCCCTAAACGTTGTGGACTAGCAACTTGGCAGAGGAACTATCAGGTCCTTGCCTGGGTGTCCACTAAGCCTCCGCCCCCCCTTCCTGTTTTCTCTGTCCCAGGAGAGCCAGTTCCCCTCGACGCATTCCCACAAGCGCGATTCCTTCGTCTACAGCACGTGGCTGGACGACAGCGCCAGCACACCCAGCGGGGGCAGCTCTCCAGGTACCTCCTTGCTGTGCCCCCACGAGGGTGCTCTGGAAGAGTCGGCCTTCACACACACACACGCACACACACGTGGGATGGACCTTCGCCCCCCCCCCCGGGGCCCGGCGTGGGGCCTCTTTGCTCACGAGGGAGGGAGGGAAGGAAGGCTGGTTTTAATCCCAAGCGGCCTTGGTGCTTCCCCTTCTCAGGCCCCTCGCGCTCCCCCCAGCCGGACCCCAGGAAGCCCACGGACCCGCCTTGCCCAGAGATCCAGATCCAGCTCGAACACTCGGACCAAGAGCCCCCCCACCTGGTGAGGTGCGGGGTGTCCCCCAAGGGCTGGGAGGAAGGAGCGGGTCCTTTCCTTGAGGGGAGGGGTAGAGAATTGGTGCCTGCAGCCTCTGGGTGGTCTTTTAATCTCTGGTCTCTTTCTCCCAGAGCTGCTAACCTCCCTGCTGTCTCGTGGATGTGCCTCTTGAGCAGGTCAGACCAGGGGTCCCCCAGGATCTTCCCTGGAGGGTTAACCCCCCCCCATCCCCGAGCCTCTGGCCAACCCTCCAAAGACCCCGTTAGGGGGTCCTGCTTAGCGGTGGGATCCAAATTGTTTTACGACCGGTCCTGTGGGCGTGGCTTGGTGGGCATTGCAGGGGAAGGAAACTGTGAAATCTCCAATTCCCTCCCCCACCTCACTCACCTGCTTTCCAGCTCCGTTCTCCTGGGCAGGGCAACCCAAGGAGACCCAGCCAATCAGCGGGGACTCAATGGGAGGCAGAGAAGAGAGATGGGGTTGGCGGGGCCAGTCGGAGGTGGCTCTTTTGCCGGTTCTCCCAACGACTCAAAGTTTCCGCTACCGGTTCTCCAGAACCGGCTGAATACTCTAGTCCTGCCCCATCACACACACATTCTCGCACACACACACACGTCCCCACCTGGCTCTGCCTGTTACCTCCTTTTTTTCCTTCCTTCCCCCCCCCCCCCCCGCTCCATCCTGGGTCTGGGAGGGAGGGGTGAGCCTTCCTTTGCCCTCCCCGACAGCTCACGGCAGAGAAGCACAAGCTAAGGCGACGGCGGAGAAGCCTTCCTCTTCATCACACGACGACGACGACGACCCTCCAACCAGCAAGTCCCGCTCCCCCGACCCTACATTTTAAGCAGCTGCTACTCTTCTCCCTTCCAGCTACGTCCGGCGGCTTCCTTCCATCGCGGTGCAAGGGACGGCATTCCTTCCAGGCCCTGGACTCTCCGGGCCTCCATTTCTCCCCGTCCTCGCCCACTTCCATGAGCTGTGCTCAAAAGATGCCCCCCTCCCCAGTTCCATCCCTAACCCAAACCCTCGTGGAGTCCAAAACTGGGTGGACAATCACAAGTAGCGTTAACCGAGAGGGCCTGGGTGTTTCCCGCCGTCCCGGTTCCTCTGGGGAGAGGCCATCTGGAACAAGCTACGGTGTGGGGCAAGGGAGCCTCGGGCCTCTTCCTGGCTTTCCTCTCGCCACGCCCGCTTGCAAGGGGCCGCTTTGGAAAAGGACAGCCGGGCACGGAACCGCAAGCAGGTATAGGGGAGTTTTCTGGACCGCTGGATCTCTGGACGGTGTTTCAGGACACGGGGGAAGACCCATGGATGGATTACACCTCGATGAGCTCCGTTTGCCAGTCATACTCTCCCCGGCCCGGCTGGCACACGCCTTCCTGTCCTCGGCTCTGGCCGCATTCTCTGTCCGCTTTTGCACCCCCACGGCAGCTGTGTGCCTCCTTTAGGGAATTTCGGACGGTCGGGGCAGAGCGTTCATCCCAAAGAAACCTTTGACAATCTCGCCACAGGTCAGCTAGGGGGTGGCTTGGCTGAATGTGGTGATTTTCCAGATGGGCCACGCCAGCCACGCTCCCCCCCCCCCCCTTCACCCCACACGGCCTGGCCAATTGACTCTCTGGCTGGGCTCTAAGCCGCAGGGACCTCCCCTCTGGGCTGTGGTTGGGCTGCCCCCACGCTGTGCAGGGTTTAAGGGTGGAGGGGGGCACAACACCCTTGCGAGCAATGCACCCTTACGGGCTCCACAGGTGTCTGGATCAGGGAAAGCCTCCCCCAACCCCCAACCCCCAATTCCCAGGCATCCAGGTTTAATTTTAAACATCCTTCCAGCGATATGAAAAGATTAATTCCCACAATGTCTGGGTCTGTTGCGTAAGTCCATCCTTCCTTCCTTCCTTCCTTCCCTTTCAGGTTGTTTTGGTCGTTTTAATTTTTTTTTTTAAATTTTTTTAAAAAGTTGCACAAAATCCATGAACTTAAACAATGTTTAAACATTGCGTTTTAATTTAAACTCCCAGACTGTAATTCGTGTTTCCAGTGACCTGTGTATAAAAGATATATATAAATAATATATATATATATACACATATATCTATTTATCGCTATTGTAAGAAGAATCTATTTGTAAAATGCTTTTTAAGATACACAGGCTGGAAAATAAAATGAGAAATCTCCATGTGGCTTTTCCGTTTCCCATTCCCGTTGGAAGGAAGGGTTTCTGTTTTGGGAGGCCGTGAGGAGGAGGAGGAGGAGGAAATTGGCCTGACCCAGGGTGGAGTCTCTCGGCTCCCGTCCCAGGTGCAATTCTGGTGAAGTTCTGGAGAAGGGGAATGTCAGGATTCTGGCAGTTCCCCCCCCCCGCCCCCCCGCTTTAAATCATGAGTCAGTCTCTTTCTTCCTTTCTTTCTTTCTTTCTTTCTTTTTCTTTTGTTCTTTCTCTCTTTCCCTTTTCTTTCTTTCCTCCTTCCTTCCCTTTTCTTTCTTTCTTTCTTTCTTTCTTCCTTCCTTCCTTCCTTCCTTCCTTCCTTCCTTCCTTCCTTCCTTTCCTTCCTTTCCTTCCATCCATCCATCCAACTTTAAGCTGTGTGGACTCCTACTCACAGAATTCCCCAGCCAGGTATGATACAAATCTCTTAAGAAGG